GCTCAGTGGCAGAGCACTTGCCTAGTACATGTGAAGCACTGGGTTCAATCCTCAGCACCACATAAAAATCAATAAATAAAACAGAGATATCATGTCTATCTACACTAAAAAAATATTTTTAAAAAAGATTAGACAAGACAATTTAAAGGTGTTTTTAAAAGCAGATGACATGACTGAAAACTATGGGATCTACAAAAGCAGCTAGTAAAACTTAAGTCATAAATTTAAGGAGGCTGTACACTAGAAAAGCAATATACAAAAATCTATTGTATTCTATATTATAACTGGCAATTAACAATTAACAATTTTAAAAGTACTATTTTTAATAGTAACAGAAAATACAAAATTCTCTGCAACATATTTGACAATCATGTGCAAGACCAAGAAACTAAAAATTAAGACATTCCTGAGATAAGTTTTAAAAAGAACTAATTAATGAAGAATATGTATCACATTCATAAACACGGTGATAAACTTTGCTAAGATTTCAACTTTTGCCAAATTGATCTCTACATTTATTGCAAGCAAAACAAAACTCTAACAGGCTTTTGTTTTTTGGTAGAAAATGACAAGCAGATTCTAAAATTCTTATGAAAATTCAGCCTAGAATAGCCAAAATACATATGAAATAGAATAAAGTTAGAAGACTAACTACTTGATTATAAGATTTATGAAGCTATAGTAATCTAGACAGTATAAACTGATGAAACATACTTGATTTTCATATGATTTCTTAAAAATCTTACTGGGTCCCATATTCAAAAATTAAGTCAAACTGAATCATATAATTAATTATAAATCTGAAACCATAATACTTCTGGAAGAAAACAAAGGTCTTTGTGACTTTGGGTTAGATAAGAATTTCTTAGGTCCAGTATCAAAGGTACGATGCGTAAACAACACAGTAGATAAATTAAGCTCCATCAAAATTTAAAAATTTCTTTTTTTAATATTTATTTTTTAGTTATAGGTGGACACAATATTGATATTTTATTTTTATGTGGTGATGAGGATAGAACCCCGTGCCTCATACATGGTAGGCGAGCGTTCTACCTCTGAGCCACAACCCCAGCCCCCAAATTTAAACATTTCTGATGTTCAAAAGACACAGAGGCTAAAAAATCAAGCCAAGACTGAGAGAATATATTTTCAAGTCCCATATGTATTTTATAAAGGGCTTGTAGCCAAAAACTATAAAGAATTCTTAATATGCAATCATAGGAAGACAAATAACTGAATAAAAAAATGGACAAAAGATCTGAGCAGGAAGTTCACCAAAGAAGACACCAAGGTATAAAATTACCAAATGAAAAAATGAGAAACATCACTGTAATTAGGGAAATGCAAATTAAAATCACAAGATCCCAATACACGTCTATCATAATGGCTAACACTTGACTGACTTTCGAAATACTGGCAAGGATGTAGAGCAGCTGGAACTCTCATACACTACTGCTATAAATATAAAACAGTACAACATTGAAGAATTGGTAGTTTCTTAAAAACTAAAATGTATACATACCATATGACACAGACATTCCATTCCTAAGTAACTACCCAGAAAAGCAAAAGAATATTTCCACAAAAAGATCTATACGCAGGCTGGGATTGTGGCTCAGTGGTAGAATGCTCATCTAGCATGCATGAGGCACGGGGTTCAATTCTCAGAACCACATAAAAATAAAATAAAGATATTGTGTCCACCTAAAACTAAAAAATAAATATTTTTCCTTTAAAAAAAAGATCTGTATATAAGTGTTCATAGCAATCTTACTTATAATAGCCCCAAACTGTAACCAACCCAAATGTCTATCAACAAATGAATGCATAAGCCAACTATGGTATATCCACACTGTGGATTATTACTCAGCAATAAAAAGAAAGAAATATTGATGCATACAACAATATAGATGAAATTCAAAATAACTGCAATTGAAAAAGTCAGACAAAAAGAGTGTTATACAGTAGGACTGATTTATAAAGAAATGAAAACTAATCCACAGTTACTTAAAGCAAATCAGCAGTTGCCAGGGAAGGGAATGGCAGCATTGAGAAAGAGGGCTGAATTACAAAAGGGCATGAGAAAAATTGGAGAGTGGTGACCATTACTATGAGTATGGTTATGGTGTCACGTGTGTGTGTGTGTATGTCAAAATTTATTAATTTATACAATTTAAATATGTACAGTTCACAATGTCAATTATATCTCAGTAAAGCTCTGTAAAGTTAAATATAACTTCATCTATTTTTTTTTTAACATAGGCAGTCAAACTCTTCTGTAAGAATTTTAAACAGTAAGAAAAGGAAGGTCTATGGTCTCTAAAAGCAAACTTATCTATTTAAATAAGATAAGCTACACAAAGGGAGTTTGTGTAAAACTTTCCTGTTTCTAGGTGATTATTTATGCCCATCATCAATAAATTTTAGATTGTCAGAAGTAGTAGCAGTCATTGGTTCAAGAGTCTTCTCTATTGAAGTTAAATATAAATACAGAGATATAAGCCAACAGAATAAAAAAATAAATAAGCCAGGAGCTGGAGCTGTGGCTCAGTGGTAGAGTGTTTACCCAGCATGTGTGAGGCCCTGGGTTCGATTCTCAGCCCACGTATAAATAAATAAAAGATCCATTGACAAAAAAAATATATATTTTTAAAAAGTAAGCCTGATACTTTTAAAAATATTAACCATACTTGAAGATCACGTAAATTAATATACTGAAAGTAGTTTTTTCCCCCTTCTATTATAAGAAGCTTTACAAAAGATGCTTTTGATTCACTAGACCTTTCTACTTAGTAGGCAAGAACTTCTTGTCCTTCTTTGTTGTTTTTAGATGAGCACGAGCCAAAAAACTGCACTGTTTACTACCTTATTTGTCCAACAAATCATCGTCAGTGAGGTTAGCAGCAAACTGAACAACCTTGGGAAGAGTGTTTATTAATGAACAGTGTTCCTAGCTGATTGGGGAAAGCCCACTGCAGTATAAAAATACGATTTGGCTCTAAGTTTCAAAACTAGAGTTATTATCAATTTTCCTAAACTTCCTACATTAAGTATTTGTAGTACTCTAAGATGCATATGCTTTTAACAGTTTTTCTTATCTGAGTATCCTATCAAAGAGACACCTTTAAAAGGTTAACTATATTAGCTGGATGTGGTGGTACATGCCTGTAATCCCAACAACTCATCCCAGAGTCTGAGGTAGGAGGATGGAAAGTTTAAGGCCAGTCTCAACAACTTAGACCATAAGCAACTTAATAATAATAATGATGACTGGGGATGTAGCTCAGTAGTAAAGTGGCCCTGGGTTCAATCCCCAGCACCAAAAAACAAAAAGGGTAACTATATTTATATTACATAAAGTTACCCATGGGTTGCTTTATTTTCCCTTAACAAAATGATAGCAAATGCCTTAATGATAAAGATTTTAAACAAACCAACTGAAAAAAATAAATCACCTGCTTCATTCATCCTGAGATAAAAAAATACAGAATTCACTCTTAGAAATATTATATATACTTTCACTGGCAGCATTTTAATGGTTTGGTAGAAAATTATTACATATATACTCTTTGCTTACACTACAAAGTATATCCTATTTCAAAAGTACCAATCATTTATTTTTAAACATCGATCAGCATTAATTTAAAAAGGCAATAATAACAATGTGTAAGGCTCCCTAACAAGATTTTATACATAATATTATATTATTATAATGTCTTTTTTTTGGGGGGGGGGGTACCAGGGATTGAACTCAGGGGCACTTGACCACTGAGCCACATCTCCAGCCTTACTGTGTATTTTTATTTAGGGACAGGGTCTCACTGAGTTGCTTAGTGACTTGCTTTTGCTGAGGCTGTCTTTGAACTCATGCTCCTCCTGCCTCAGCTCTACAGCCACTAGGATATAATGTCATATTTAACAAATCAGAGCTGTAAGTAATTCATTCTTTTCATTCTTTAAATTTATAAATTAAAAAGTCAGTATTATTCTGATTTCTTTAGTTGTAAAATATTCAACATAATATCTAATAAATATAAATACCTAAAAGTGGATAATAACAATAGCAAGAAGACTAAAACATATAAAAATGAAGCAGTAACATCTGTTATTCTTCTTTCTATAAAATGATACAGCAAATTCAATCCTATAAGTTTTATACTGAACACAAGCACCTATTCTGTTCTTTGTCATTATAAAAGTTTCTGGGTTTAAAAAAAAAAAAAAGATGTTCTATCAAGCTTTAAGTATTCAAATGGGTGTCAGTCTCCAAAGCAGTTATTTATTACCTTCGGAGATTATACACAATGTTCAAATATTTACATTTTTTTCAAAGTCAGATTAGGCTACATTAAGAAAAATCAGCAATTATTAGCGTTCACACCACACAGACACTATTTTTCAGTCATATTCCTTTGCTCATTATATTGTCTACTAATGATATTTTTTTAATATCCAAGCCCCCTCAAAATTAATTCTTAATATTTTAACAGTAAATACTGGCTAGAATACTGACAAAAATACTTAAAGGAACAGGCCTAGAGTATTGAAGAAAAGTAGCAACAAAAGATGATTAGTAACTTGGCTTATTGCTAGTTAAATAAATGATTTTCCATAATGACAGTTTAAATTTAGGTACTTAAATTTATGTATGTTTCTTTCTGTCTTTTCTTTGAGTCTCATTACATTTTGGACTATTGTACATGAAAGAATTCCTTCATTCACGGAGTTAATAGTCATTATACAGTAAAAAAGCAGGAAAAAATGGGCTGGGGTTGTGGCTCAGTGGCAGAGTGCTTGCCTCGCACATACGAAGCACTGGGTTCGATCCTCAACACCACATAAAAATGAATAAACAAAATAAAATATTGCATCCATCTATAACTAAAAAATAAAATTTTTAAAAAGGCAGGAAAAAAGTATAAGATTAATAAGCATAATGCTATATTCTTTTTGAAAAAGTTCCCTATATACTTGAAATGACCCTAAGAAAAAATTCATACCATTTACAGCTTTTTCAATCAGCTCTTCACAAGCATCGAAATCACCCTTCAACACCAGTTTGTCATGCAGATCTGTTAACATAGGATGTTCCAATGCAATCTTGGTTTTCTTTTGCAGTGATTCAAAAGCCTCTGTATAGTTGTGCTGTCTGAAGTGTTTTAGGCAAAGGCGAATGGCTTCCTGTTCACGGTACTACTAGAACACAAGAGAAAGTATGAAAAGAAGAGATTTGCTTGGTTGTTACTGCAAGAAATAATAAAAAGGGAAAACAAATAATCTAAACTGAATATTTAATATCTCCCAAGCACTGTATTAATCTTATTCATTAGATACCATTATATGCATCTTTCTAGTAGCGAAACTAATGCTTAGCCCATTGTAATAACTTGCCCAAGGACACAAAGTATGTTGCTGAAGGAGAGATTAAATCAGATCTAATTCCAGAGTCTGAATTTTTTAAAAGATGCAAGATATTATGTATTAAAGACCACTTCAAATTATAAAAATTGTAAATCCCATGACATCCACTAACCACAGTACAATGCAGGTCCTGAAAGCACAGACACAATGAAATAATATAAACAAATTATAAGCTTTCTGTTCTCGATTCTTATTGATAAACTACTACTTGAATGACAAGTATTATCAAATGTCGAGGTATTCTAAATTTGTAAATAGGTATGGTATGAAGAGACTAAATTTTATCATTTTCTAAGACTGGGGTACCTGATCATTTAAAGTAGATATTTCAATTAATGAGAACCTAAAAAGTAGGTACTCAATTTATAAAAATTTTCCCCTAACAGGATAAATGCCAAAAATATAAACTCATAAAAAATTTTTGTTTTTTTTAAAATCAACTTCAAGACTATGTCCTGGGATTATGTAAAATTTTCTAAGTATACCATTGTACAATTCAAATAAAACAGAAAACAGAGAACCACAGCATGATAATCAAACAACAATGATTTATTTAAAAAGCATTACCTTTTAATAAAGCAAGAGAATAAAATTTGAAGAGTTAAAACACAAATCAATTTACAATGAGATGACTTCTTGATTAGTAAGTTATTAAACACTCCTTTCAGACTACAATTGCAAAGATTTAACCTTATCGAATAAACAAAGAATTATTCTGTACTCAATTAATTTTATATTAATAGCCTTTTAATTTTGCCTCTAAAAAAAGATTTACCTTTATTTTGTTTATTTATGGTGCCGAGGATCAATCCCAGTGCCTCACATGTTCGAGGCAATGGCTCTGCCACTGAGCCCCAGCCCCAGATTTAGCTTATCTATACAAAAGAATAAAATTATATTAAATAATAACACCTGTTTATTATGTTGACTTTGGGATTCTCAATCATATTCACATCTCAAATTTTCCATCAGGCTATAAAACTAACCCACTAAAAGATATGTTGCATGTGTGAGACATTGAGTTTGATCCTCAACACCACATAAAAATAAAGGTATTCAAAAAAAATAAAAGGAAAAACCACTATGATCAAAGAGTATCAATGTGGTTAAAAACAAAATCCATGGGCCAAATGAGTCTAATAAGGTAACGGGCAGACTGTAGGGCCAGACTATCTGAGTTCATATATTGCCTTGAGTACTTCATAACTGTGTGGGCCAAGGCAAAATATTTAACCTCTCTGTAGTACAGTTCTTCATCTGTAAAATAATGAGCTTACAACAGTACCTATCTCATAGAATGATAACAATCAAGTTATCAGGATGGCTTAGAGGCTGGCAGACTATAAATACTTAATAAATGTTCGCTGATTAATCACTATAATTTTTATTATTATCCTCAATATTTTCAATAATTCACAATGAAGATAGAAATTGACATATTTCACCTTCTGTAGAGGTATGGGATTTTAAAATACAGTCCTACCTTGCTATACCAGTTGAGACAGGGTTGTACTACATCAGGATCATCAATACCACTGAGTTCAACATACCAGATGCTGAAGTTAAAGCTGGGCCCCCAGGACAAGAGTGGAACTTTAAGAGGGAAAGAGGGGAGAAGAAAAAAATTAACATAATTCAAATAAAACTTCAGCAAAACAAAAATCACTATTAAACCTATAACCATTCATTTGACAAAATTTTTCTGAGCATCTTCTATATGCCTAGCACTGTGCTAGGTGCTAAGACTACAATAGCAAAAATAACCATATGAGGTTTCCTTAGTTAATAAAACATTGTAAAATAAACTTAAAATTGTCATATTACCGATTCCAATTAAACACAACTAGTACTAGATAATTTAACAGGTAAAATTTATCAAACCTACATGCAGCAAATAATTATATTATTTAAGCTATAACAGAGTACAGAAAGACATTACAAGTTCATTTGCCAGTAAATAACCCTAAAAATAAAATCAAAGAAAAAGGATTTTAAAAGAATTTAAGGCCAATATCAGTTATGAATATTTATCCAAATTAAAGGGGCAAAAAAGATGAAAATAATTCTACCAGATTTTCAATATAATCAAATGGATCTCATTCTCGGAATAGAATTGTTCAATAGGAAGTATATTAATGTAATCTGCCACTTTAACAAACTGCTAAAAGAAAAAATGTGCTCAATTACTTTGATATTAACAACAAATTAATAAAATATATGTTCTGTTCACTTTTTTTAGGGGGGGGTTGTACCAGGAATTGAACTCAGGGACACTCAAACACTGAGCCACATCCCCAGCCGTATATTTATATTTTATTTAGAGACAGGTTCTCATTGAGTTGCTTAGTGACTCACTTTTGCTGAGGCTGGCTTTGAACTCCTGATCCTCCTGCCTCAGCCTCCTGAGCCACTGGGATTACAGGCATATACCACCACACCCAGCTTCTGTTCATTATTTTTAAAAATTATTTATACAATAAGGAATAGAAGGCAAGATGACAAGTCTTTACCTAGTTTTTCTGAAAGTGTTACAAACCTTAAAAATGAAACTAATGAGGAAATATTAAATATGCTTACTGAAGTCAAAACAAGACCAAGAGGTCCAACATCCATTGCCCAACACAATATGAAAAGTCTTGGCCAGTGCAATAAGGGGGGAAAATTGTATCATACTAAGAAAAAAAAAATGCCACTTGATGACATAGCTAACTAAAAAATTCAAATTCAATTGAAATACTGTTTAACGTTTGTATACAAGGTAAATATGCAAAAATTAACTATCCTATAATTAAAATAATCAATTAGAAAATATGGCAAAAAGGGATGGAGAAGTAGTTAGGTGGTAGAGTGCTTGCCTAACATATGAGGTTCTGGCTTCAATTCCTAGTACCACCAAAAACTCCCCAAAAGCCCCTTGTTTGATAGTCCTCTTTATGATAGCAATAATGATAATGATAACAATAAAAAGCTGAAAATATTTCAAAATAAACAACCAAAAATGCTATCTTTATAATAAAAGAGGACATGAATTTTTACTGAAGAACTGAATAAATGAAGGAATATTCTGTATTCCTGGACAGGAAAAGTCAAGGTCATAAACATGTCAATTCTCTCCATTTCAAATTCAGTATAATCTCAATCAAAATCCCAATGGCATATATCCATTTTGGGCCATGTAAATAAACAAGCTAATCTGAAAAGATAACATGAAAATATCCAAAATTATAAAAAATTATATAATACAAGTATACTACAAAGATACAATCTGATATTAGTCTGGGAAAAGGAAAGCAGATGAGTAAAACAGGAAAAGAAGAGTATCCAACAATCTTGAAGTATTCAGAGGAATTTAACATGATGAAGATAAAATTTCACATCAATAATGACAGAACACAGAAGTTTTTAAAACATGATCCTTGAGCTCTGGGGATCCCTATTACCCTTTCAGGAAGGTCTACATCATCAAAATTCTTTTGTAATGACACTACGTGTTTGTCAGGCTTCTTTTGAAAAAAATAATACTAACACTGCACTAATAGTGCAAAAGCAACGGTGAATAACATTACTGGCACTTGGTACCAAAGTAATGGCACCTAAAAGTATGAGTAGTCCTTGGTACACAACAAATTACACTGTATTTCTCACTACCATCTATACTTAATTAAAAATGAAACCTTAATTAAAGCAAGTTCATTTGGGGTGCTCTTGATGATGCAGTAAAAATTAATGTTATTAAATCCCTAACATTAAGTAAATTAAGTAATCTTTTTGTTATCCTCTGTGTCAAATTGGGAAATACATATAAAGCATTTTTTGAAATATTTTTTAGTTTTAGTTGGATACAATATTGTTAATTAATTAATTTATTTGTATGTGGTGCTGAGGATCGAACCCAGGGCCTTGCCCGTGCCAGATGATCGCTATTCTGCTGAGCCACAACCCCAGCCCTATACAAAGCATTTTTGCTGCATATCAAAGCATAATAGTTATCTTTAGAACTTGGTTACTATTTGAGTTGTGAGCTACAATAATCATTGCTTTTTCACGGTATTCTTATTCTTGAAAGAAAAACTGACAAACAACTTATGATTATTTCAATTTGAGTATTTGCTATATTTACCTGTCATTTCAAGAAAAAACAACAAATGATATCTGCTGTAGAGGATAAAAATTCAAACTTTCAAGAAAAAATTAGAATTTTGGAAAACAAGTATCTATCACTTTGAGTTTGGACTGCTTCTGTAAATTTTTCTGTCTGCAGGTGATATTAATGAACATGATTTTTAAAATACTGTATGAAATGTTACAAAGTTTGAAAGATCAATGAATGGCATTACAAAATGATAAATGGATTAAAAAGTATAGGATAGATCCTATAATTTTATTGTAACAAAATAAGTTCATTGACATGGTTTTGGAGTCAATAATGGAACTACCTATAAAAATCTAACACTTGCCAAGTTTTGATGAAATATTAAAATATTACATCCACAGCATCTCACACCAGGCCTATTGAGTTCCAGGTTCATTGCCTTTTTCAGTATAACAGACTAAATAAGGGGCTAGGACGTACTGGCTCAGATATAATGGAAGGCCATTATTTAAAGGAAGCTCTGAGTGAAGATAGGGATAGGCAGTAGCAACTAACTATGTGGATATATGAAGGACCCCTGGGACATTTAATATAGCTTTCAGTTTCTATGTGCAACCAATAAAAATTTTAACATGTTTTCTATCAAGAAATATTAAATTACTATCATTGTTTTGTTGTTCACTTTTTAATGTGGCACTAACATTTAAACGTATTACCACATCACACAGAAATACCATCAAGTAGTCTGAATGAAAATAAGATTCAAAACTCAAAGCCCCAATAACATAGTTCTCTATATGTAACCAGATACATAACATTAGTTAGAGATTCTGAGGTCCAAGTTTAATAAATTAAAAGAAAGGAAGAAGAGATCTTTCTATTATATCTATTTAAGTCCCAGCAAAACATTCATTAACTAAAACTTTTTTACTTTAAACACTTGTGCTCTAATGAGATGTCCTCTGTACATGCAAAAGTCTTGAAAAAGGGGTTGGGGTTGTGGCTCAGTGGTAACAGCACTTGCCTAGCACATGTGAGGCACTGGGTTAGATCATCAGCACCACATATAAATAAATAAATTAATATATTGTGTCCATCTACAACTAAAAAATTAAAATAACTATTTAAAAAGTCCACAAGACATACTTCTACAAAAAAAAAACTGTTCTAATTTTATATACTTTATAAAGAACATAGGGAGGGAGGTAAATTATCAAGCATCTCACCATAAAAAAGTCATATAAGTCATATATTACAGATAAATGAACATATAAATTAATTTTCAACAGATTAAAGGGGTATGGATGAAATGAACAGAATGATGTATGCTCATTTCAAAATTACCAATGATTTTTGGTAGCATTAGCTACCTCAATAATGCATATTAGGTACTACACATAATATATAAGAAATCTAAATGTGCATTGACGCTCCAGCCACATATTTTAGGTTCCCTGATAAATCAAGCCTCTGCTCCCACCTTAAATAAAAAGATAAGATGCTCCTAATATACAACTCAAGATGAGGAGTTTCTAGGGTTCAACCACCAGTTTTTCCTGTAGTACAACCATATACAAAAATGATCAAGATTCATGTTTGTCATCCTTTTTCATAAAATGGGATACATATAGGATGTAAGAACAACAGGCTAGGGCTCCTGCTACTCTAGAATTGAAGGAGTCAATATCTCAACACAACGAAACAACTCTGTGACACATTCAATGTATTTTAACAATATTATTTGGGAACTTTTCCAGATGTCTAGCTAGTCATTTTAAGTTTCTGGAAGATCCTAAAATCTAATATTAACCACTTTGAAAGAGTTTATCTATTCTACTGTAGAATCAATGACCAAGCACACAGTACTTAGCATAATAACTGGTACATACTAAGAGTTCAGTAAACATTAGCTTTTATCATTATTAGCCATTATTATTATATGAATTTTATTCCTAATAATATACTTTTAAAATATCGCCCTTATATATATTCTCATAATAGGCCACACTTACCCAAGCAAACCTCGAGGATAAACACCCCCACCGCGACTTAGTACCCATCCTAGACTTCCAAACACTTGAGATCCAAAATGTATACTGCATACAGTCAGAGCTAAACCCTATCTCTGAAGCCCCCACAACTATTTAAACTGAAAATGACTCCTTCAAAGAAATCCATTTGATTCTATCTACACAAAACCAGGACTGACTCCAGAATCCTTCCAATCTCCTTCTTCCTAATTTCCTCACACAGTTGTTATCTTGGGTATGAAAGAGGATGTAAACTCTTCTAGTCATTTGTAACAGATACCCTCATTTCATTACATTTTAGATTTTCTCTTCTCTAATTTAATCTCATGAGGGTTTCCCTTCCAAAACTTCAATTAGAACATTTGGTATATAGAAGAAACCTCACTACAATACATTTTTAAAAGGTTTTTACAAATTAATGCTTTGCTGGAAATTGAACAGAAATTATACTTTACACTACAAGCACTTTAAAAAAAATTTACGTTTTTAGTTCTAGTTGGACACAATGTCTTCATTTTATTTTTATGTGGTGCTGAGGATCGAACTCAATGCCTCATGTGTGCTTGACGAACACTCTACAACTGAGCCACAACCTCAGCCTTCCACTATAAGCACTTTTTATTAGGATTTCAGATATTTCTTTGGGCTCAACAAAACAAACAGGCCTACTCTTGATAGAGCAGCAAATGATGATTATAAAGAACATCGTTTGTTCCAAAAGAGAAATTTTCTCCCAAATCAAAATGTGAGATTCTGGCTTTTTATTATTCTTTGTGGGATCAAATTCACTTTAATCCCAGTTGAATATAATATTTTCAAAGGTATGCAATAAAGATGGAAATTACCCAGTGGCTCAGGAGGCTGATACAGAAGAATCTCAAGTTCAAAGCCAGCCTCAGCAACTTAACTAGACTCTAAGCAACTCAGTGAAATCCTATACAAATTAAATAAATACAAAATCGGGATGGGGATGTAGCTCAGTGGCTGAGTGCCCCTGAGTTCAGTCCCCAGTACCCCACATAAAATAAGTAAATAAAGATGGAAATGTTTAAAAGACCCAAGTCCTCAACTTTCCTGTGTTCTAAATAATAAATCCTAAAAAAAAAATAACCTAAAAAATATCATTTTGAGGATACATTACAAATACTTTCTAAATACATATATGGCTTGAGGTAGTGTTTTTCCAAATAGTAGTCTGTAACACATTAGTGAGCCATGAAATTGATTTAATGGGTTTGGCCAGCATTTCACTAGAAACAAAACAACCCCCCGCCGCCACACACAGAGAAAATAACTATAATACACTGCCTTAAGAGATTCATCCATATTTGGTTTTAGATAGCTATAGAATAACTCATAAACCTTCCATGAGATGACTAAAGCAATCAAATCACTATACCTCATAAAATTTTCTAAAGAAACTTTCAAATGAGAAAATAATGGAAAAAGTTCAACCTGAAATAACTGTCACTTTAATAACAGACTTACAAAGCAAGGGTCAGCAAACTTTTCCTGTAAAAAGCCAAATAGTAAATTTTTGGATTTTGTTAGCTATGTGATCTTTTTCAACTACTCACATTTGGAGCACAAAAACAGGCAAAGACAATATATGTAAACCAACCAGTGTAGAAATGTCCCCATAAAATTTTATTGAAAAAATAGGGAGCCTAAAGGATTTGATCTATGAGTGGCAATCTATGGACAAATGGCATAAAAAAAAGTTTTATTCCAAAATGCTAAATAACCTTACCTATTTTAATGAAGCGACACGGAAACATCTGTTCATCAATTTTATGCTTCAAAGTGAATGTTTCTTTGTTATAATCATTCTTTAAGCCACTATGGAGGAAAAAAAAAAGGTTATCAAATCTGATTTCATAATTTAGTAAACACATGAAAACTCAGATTAATGCCAAACTCAGATTTTAAGTTTAAACCTATGTTCATAATAAATGACCAATACAATAGTAAGTAGTTGAACGTGGGAATATAGGTTAAAACTTATACATTCAAATCAACTTCAATAAAATTGTATTCTCTAAATTATATATGAAAGTGGTTATACAAGAAATTATATAAAAAAACAGTTTAGTATTAAAGGATATGGCTACAGTGCATGGAAATGTGTGACAGAACCTAAGGTCCTTAATGAATAACTGAATGTAACATAAAGTTACAAGCAGGAGAGAAATTTGGAAAAGTTAAATTCAAATTGTCTCTGACAATTTAGCCTGAATATTAGAATATATCAAAGAATTAAATTTCTTAATTCTGAGATGTTAATACTCCTTTTATAGTCCAAAAAAATTTCAGAGACAATCCTATTCTGTTGGTTTTTAACAACATCTTTAATCTTAGTAAAAATCAACCCATATTACCTTTCTACTTAAGCAACAAGGATTGATACAAGTACTTACAGAAAAATCACTTACCTTCAGACTGCCTTATATCCTGAAATACTTTCATGACTCAAATAAAATGCAGCATCAAAGTAACATTTACTTCTATGTACTATGTTAATGAACATACCATATCACAAATATATTCTAAATATATTCATGGGTTTGTTTGTCCCTTCCATTGACTACCTGATTTTTTATTATCTGGCAGATAATTTAACACTCCAGGTGATCTGTTTTAAAACTCCAATTTACTGAGGTCTTTCCAGTAGTAGGCACTGCGCTAGGAGTAGCCACATACTTTTTCATTTACAAAAACCTCCTTTTTTAGTTTCAAATTTCCAGTGAAGTCTTAGAATACCATTTCTAGATTAGCACAATGAATATTTTGAATAGGGTCTCTATTTTTATAGCAAAGACGACAACAAAGTTTTTTTTTTCACCCTTCCTTTCCAATCCTTAACTCTCTCTATAGCAATAAAAAGTTTAATATTTCTGAAGTCAGTAACAGTTCAAAAATATGACTGAAAAAGAAATTAAATTATTCTTTTGATTCTTGTCATTAATAACAACATTAATAGTACTGGTGGCTAAAAAAAAAACTAACTCAAGCCACAGTATTAAAATAAGAAACAGGAGTAAAATAGGATTAAATAATCTTTACTCCCTTAAGGGGTTGAGGGGAACTAAAGTAAGACTGCTGTTTGTTTAGAAGACAACCCTTTCTTCCCCATAACTGTAACTCACCTGGACAATAGCTCTGTCATATTTTCTTCATTCATGCCGCCAAAGACTTTAAATTTCTTCAAATTACAGACATGAGTTTTCTCATATTTTCCAAATGTGATATTCTGAACTATAGCAGGTCTTTCAAGTTTCAGAATCAAGTACTAAAAAAAGAAACAATCAAGTCATATTCTCCTCTGTTTAAAACAAATAGACAACTTGAAAAAAATTTTAAATGTTTTGACTTGACAGAATGACGACTAAGGCTCATCTTATAATGGTAAGTTTTTTTAATTTAAGCTAAAGAGTAGTATACAACAACTTTATAAAGGCTCCCATAACATCACCACTTTTCATTCTAGTAAAGCCCAGAAACTACATTATCCTGCATGCTGTAAATGGAGGACGAAAATAGAACCAGTGAGAAAACTTCTAATCAAGGGATAGAATGGAATAAAAGCTATCAGAAGACTCTGAATAACCAAACAACACAAGATTAGATCGCAAAAATCACAATTACATATTCCCATGGATCATACTTTAATAGATAAATCAATGTTCAAAATCTGTGGTAAAATTTTAAACCTTGGGGCTAGGGTTGTGGCTCAGTGGTACAGCACTCTCCTAGCATATGTGGGGCACTGGGTTCAATCCTCAGCATGATATAAAAATAAAAAATAAAGGTATTATGTCCAACTACAACTAAAACAAAAATTTTTTTTTAAAAAATTAAACCTACCCAGATCTACTATAGATATGTCAATATAGCTCAAGGTTTCCTACCACACACTCAATAAAATGAGATGTTAATTGTAAAAAACATTATGAAGACTGTTCTCAATTATAAAAATTAAGGAGAAAATTATCACTGATGGAATACATTTGCAAAAAGCTATTTAGAAAAACAATTCATATGTTTTGTTGGAGAGAGTCCATGTTTTATGGTAACAATAGATAATATAGGTAGATAATGGTGGTAAGAATGAAGTTGGTGTTCCTACCTCTCACTATACACAAAAATTAACTTGGATCAAAACTGATCCAAAATCAATCCTTTCGGATCAAAGATATGAACAGAAGATTGAAAATTTAAAAATTTTACAAAAACTCAGGGATATAAATCTTCAATGACTTTTTTTTTGGCGGGGGGACATACTGGGGATTGAACTCAGGGGCTCTCAACCACTGAGCTACATATTCAACCCTATTTTGTATTTTGTTTAGAGATTGGGTCTCACTGAATTGCTTAGCACCTCGCTGTTTTTAAAGACAGAGTCACTGTAGATGATCAGATAAAATTAAGAATTAGATGAAGAACTAGTTGCAGAGCTGTTAGAAATAAAACTTATTCTATGACTTTGAACTTAAGATCCTCCTTCCTCGGCCTCCTGAGCCGCCAGGATTACAGGCATTTGCCACCATGCCCAGCATCAATGACTTCTTGGATTCGACTATGGTTTCTTAAATATTGACATCAAAAGTACAAACAGAGGTGTAAAATTTGATTTCATTAAAATTCAAACTTTTGTAACAAAGGAACTATCAAAAAAATGAAAAGATAACCTAGTCTACTAAACAGAATACAGAAATAACTCTTAAACCTTGTCATGAGCAAGCTATACCATTAACAAAGACCAAAAACATTTGTGTCTTTCCACAATGTCAGAATTTATTGAACAATAAATTCAAAAACTACACCACTTTCATCATTCACTATTCTTGGTGTACTAGTAGATCACCTGATAGTCATATGTTGGGCAATCACAAGTTCTTTTATCAATGTTAATATCTTTAACACACAAGTCATGTATCATATTTTGTATATGATATGAATAGGTTACAGAAAAGCTACTAAAGGGTTTAAGATGGCCACAGGGGTCTAGGAAGCTGAACTGAGAGCAAAGGCAGCGTCACTGGAGATGATCAGATAAAATTAAGAACTAGATGGGGTGCAGAGCTGTTAGAAATAAAACTTATTCTATGTCAGTGTCAGTCAAATGTCATTTTCAGAGTGTCAGCTTGAAGTGTCAGGTTGGAGTGGGCCATGCATCATAGTTACAGTCATGAGAAACGAGGCTGAGCTAAAGCATGGGGATAGAAGATCACCAGTTCATCACTGTGGTGATTCTTCTGTGCAAATGACCAGGTAACAGGTCAGTGTACTGTTGTGTCCAATCTTGGGGCAGGTATTCCTCCTTTTATGGATCTCAGGTGAGGGGACTGCTTCATTTGGTGATCTGCTACCTGTGAAAAGCTCATGGGCCTGTTTTATTCTGAGATGAAGCTGATATGCACAATGCACCCATGTGCTTCTGATTTAATTTAATAAGTTCATAGATAGTCATTTTTATTATCAATTAATTTATTTACTGGTTTGTGCCTTATGGTTGTGCTAGGCAAATAGTAGTTATTTAACTGTACAAATAAAGTGTAGAATCATTCTGCCTCAGCACTTAAAAAACTCAAAATGTAGTAACTCATGGCAAACTACTGCTCTGAGTTAGGCACAGCATGAAAACTGTTGTGCTAGTCATTATGGATTAACACAGAGCAGAGTACAGACTTCCCTCCGTACAACTCAATAAAAAGATACACAATCCCATTTAAAAATGGGCAAAGGACCTAAATAACTTTTTCTCCAAAAAAGATAAACAAATAGTCCAAAGGCACAGATGGATGTAAAATGGTATATACACTGTATAATAGTTTGGCAATTCCTCAAGAAGTTAAAGAATTAATATATAAACAACTCTAGGTACATACTCAAAGGAAGTGAAGAGGTATTTGAACAAATCTGTATGTGAATGCTCAGAGCAATAGTATTCATAATAGCCCAAAGGTGGAAACAACCCAAATGTATATGATGGCTCCTGGTGTTTCCTGATTCACAGCAGCTTAACTCCAATTTCTGCTTCCATCTTCACATAGATTTCTTCCTGTGTTTCATTTCTTCTACTTTTCAGTGTCTAAATAAAGACACTCATCATTGGATTTAGGACCTACCCTAATCAAGGATGATCCTGACTGAAGATCCTTACCTTAATTACCTCTGTTAAACCATTATTCCAAATAAGGTCACATTCAAGGTTCCACATAGCTCTCCCCCGACCCCCACCCCGGGGAATGTATGCAACCATTTTATTTAGCCAGGCAAAAAAGAAACGAAGGCTTATGAAAATATCAGTGTTGTTAGAGCCAATAAGCGAGGCAAAAAACCTTAAGTATTGAGAATAAAGAGGTAGGCAGTCACCAGATCATAAAGTCTGTGCTACTAGGTGAAGTTAAAATTATAAATGCAGAGTGATCTACACATCAAAGGAAACAATTAGAAATATGAAGAGAGAACCCACAGAATGGGAGATAATCTTTGCTAGCTACTCTTCGATAGAGGATTAATATTCAGAATATATGAAGAGCTCAAAAATCTTTACACTAAATAATCAAATGGCTAAATGAATTAAATAGACAATTCTCAAAAGAAGAAATATGAATGGCCAATAAATACATGAAAAAATGTTCCACATCATTAGCAATTAGGGAAATGCAAATCAAAACTATATTGAGGAGCTACTATAAGGGATCTTCCTAGCAGAGTGGAGATAAAGGTCATGTGCACTGGACAATTTGTTGCCATGGGAGAGCAATACATATTTCGTAATGCCAAACCTAAATCACCCTGGCTTCTGTACAGAGAGAAGATCCTCATGTAATTCCCACAGATACCTCAATAGTATTTAAAAAGTGACTAAAGAGGTACTAAGAAAATGATTATGAAAGTCAAAAATGACAAAAATATCTGCAGTATATAACTAAAAAAAGGACCTATATCCAGAATAAATGCAAACAACTCCTACAACTCAATAATCAAAAATTAAACAAACCTTTTTTAAATGGGTAAAGAATTCACAAAAAAAGTTTTAAAAAAACCAACTAATAAGCAAATGGAAAAGTGCTTAATACCATTAGTTACTAGGAATTGTAACTTAAAAACCACTTCACATTAACAATAATCACTAAAATTGAGTGTGAATGGTCAGGTAATTTTGCATAAAATTAATATACTCCTTCCTTATGATGCAGTAATTCTATTTCCAGATATTTATCCCAAATACAGAAAATATGTATTATTTTTAAAACCTCATAAAACAATATTTATTTGAACCTTATTTATAATCACCAAAAACTGAAACACAAATGTCCAAAAAAAGAAAATGAATGAATAAACAAACTGAGTATCTGCATATAATAGAATAGTATTCTGCAATGTAAAGAAATGGAATATTAATGTACATGACATTATGAATAAACATAAAACATACATTGAGCATAAAAAGTCATATAATAGAAGTTTATTTCTCTCTCTCTCTCTCTCTCTCTCTCTCTCTCTCTCTCTCTCTTTCTCTCTCTCTGACTCCATTTAAATTAAATTTTGGAATTGGCAAAAACAACCTATGGCAAAAGAAATCTGAACAGTGGCTGCCTCTGGGTAGAGGGTAGAATAGTTAGGGATTCTTTGCTAAAGAGGCAGAAAGGATCTTTCTGAAGTCATGGAAATGTTTAATATCATCACAGGAGTGTGAATTATACAGTGGTAAACATTTTCAAAGTAGATATCACACATACTGAAGGCTCACACATTTTACTGTATAAATTATATCAATGAAAACTGTATTAAACAATTTAAACAATGATCCTTTTGCAAACTTGGACAAAATGCACTTATTAAAAAAAATTTCTATAGCTCAGTTCTATAACATTCTTGTCATGGTTCATCAAACAAAAGGAATAATCTGAGGGCACTGCAAAAGCAAAAGCATACACCAGCCCCTCACACACAATTGTATTAAACAATCACTGAGGTTTCTTTGACCTGCTTAGTAGATTATAAAAAAGCAGGTCAACTTCAATTGCCTCTCTGGCCCCATAAAGAATATTACTTAATTTTATAATTCTACTTACACCTTTAGAAGGAGCATATAATCACAGTGGAAGAGTTAATGATTTAATCTTTCTTTAAGCAAGTTATCAAGACATCTGTAACTGCCTATACATCTTAATCAACCCTTAGAGTATCACCAAAAAAACATATTTTCTATGGCAGTATCAATAATTTCTATAAAATATATCTGATGAGGGAAAAGGATAAAATTACTATCCTAAAGTATTTATGGGGTTTTTATTCATGCAACATTATTCTCTACCAGCAACGATAATCCAGGATTAACATGAAATCTGTCTTTAGTGGGAAGATTGATCAAAATTAATATTTTGCTATTATATTTTTCATTTCTAGAAGTTTTACTTGTTTCTTTTTCAATATGCTAGATCACATTTTATAGTTTCCAATTCCTTGAAGATATCTTCTCTTTCTTTTTAAAATTGAAGTAGTTTTTTAATTCTAGCATCTTTTTGCATTTTTAATTCTAGTATCTTTTTTTTTTTTTTTAAGTTTTTGGCTAGTTCTTCAAGTGTCTCATTCCTGGATATATTAGGTTAACTTTGAGTGTGTACCCTTCACTTTTCTTCTATAATAATCTGTAGAGACTTCCTGAGGTTTAAGCAAGAAGGTAGCCACCTCCAAGAGAATTTGTATTTGCTTCTGCTGAGAATCTTAAGAGCACTATTCATCCACAATCATACCATAAGATTTCATGGATAGTGAAGTCCTGAGACTTTGAGCACCAAATGTGAACAAAGAAAAACATATAGCTATAACCCCTCAGGGATGGTTTCTCTTTCATTTTCTCCTTTTATTAAATACCAGTGCAACTCTCCCAGAGGTGGGGACTTCCACTGTTTTATCCTTATCCTGAAAATGAATCACTTTGAGGTCCTAGTTTTCACAAACTTTATGTATATATGTGTATGTTTTTTTTTCAATCCAACTCTTCTAGTAGTTTTCAGAGCAAGATTCAGAAGTACTATAGCTCATAACCACTTATCATGCAAGATTCCTTACTACCTATAGATACCAAAATTATATCCATTTTATCCAACCTGGATATTTTTCATAATAGGAAAAATAAGAATTATTTCCTTATGTTTTTCTGGTAAGAATGCTATCATTTGATACTGGCCACATGGAACCCCAGCTACACTGAGTTCTTAAATTACAATTAAGAAAATGGATTCCATATATTTCTAAAATAAATCTGTCTTAATTACAAAAGCTTTAGACTACTTCTCTAGGACTTATGCATTAGATATTAACTGATTCAGTATTTTCTTGCTTCATCAAAAGAAAAGATAATATTTAATTCACTGTTGAATTTCCAATGCTTAGTTAGCACCTCATGGATACTTATAAAGTTTTAAATGAATAAACAAAAAACAAGTAAAAAAAATCAAATTCTACTGTCCTTAAAATATAGTTCAAAGAGGAATTTCACAGTAAGGAGTTATCACAGTTTCAATTAAAACAGAAAAAATTTTAAATAAAAATAATTCATTAATAAGCAAAGCTAAACAAGAGAAAAACACATGAAAACTTGGATATTCAAGTTCAAACTAAAAAGTAAATCAAGAAAAACATGATTAAAAATGCAAAGCCATTAACATATACAAACAGGCTTGAACAGGAAAAAGCAAAAAAAAAAATTTAAACTACATTGAGTCATAATGTAAGATCCACTAGACTGAAAAAATCTAAATCAGTCATAGAAGTGAAGAGGAGAACGTAATGCAACAGCAACTTTCATATACTCCTAGTCAGAGTATAAATTACACAGCAACTTTGCAAATGGCTTTGCTTTAGCCAATGAAGTTGGATATATACATACCTACTGTATTAGTCAGCATTTTGTTGCTGTGACCAAAATATCTAAAGTAAACAAGGGAGGAAAGATTTATTTTGGCTTCTGGTTTCAGTCCATGGTCAGATGACTCCATTGCTCTGGACCAGGGGGAAGGGCTTGATGGAAAAACACTGCTCACTTCATGGCAGCCAGAAAGCAGCAGGGGTTTGGAGGAGGCAAGGAGGAAAGGGCGAAGGACAAAATGTAACCCCCAAGGATATGTCCCAAGTGCATAACCAACCATGTCCTATCTATCTAAAGTTTCCATCACCTCCCAGTAGTCCATTCAAACTATTAATTCATCAGATAGATTAATCTACTGATGAGATTATAGCTCTCCTGATCTCATTACTTCCTAAAAGACCTACCTCTGAATGCAGCTGCACTGGACATCAAGTCTTCAACACATGAGGCTTTTGGCGATACTCCCAATCTAAACCATAACACCTACCCTATGATTCAGTAATTCTACTCCAAGATATATACTTTAAAGAAAACTCCAATAGCAAAAAATTATTAAAAACCCAATGCCTCTCACCAGCATATTTATATACTGGAATACTATATAGAAGAGAAAATGAACAAACTACCATTATACACAACAACTTAATGTGTTGGCTTAACATCATATTAATAAGCAAAAGAAAATCAAGCTACTGGGGATGGGGTTGTGGCTCAATAGGTAGAGTGTTTGCCTAGCAAGTATGACGCACTGTACTGGGCTCAATCCTCAGCACCACATTAAAAAAATAAATAAATAAAAAATAAAGACAATGTGTCCATCTACAACTAAAAAAATATTTTAAAAAAATAAAAAAGAAAATCAAGCTACAAAATACTTATAAATGACTCAATCAATTTATATTTATATAAAAATCAAAGCCAGAAAAACTAAATCAAAGGGTATTTATAATACACACATATATAATACTCTAAGAAAATGCTTAACAAAATACGCAATAGTTACTTAGGACTGATTTAAGAGAGGGCTCATACAGACTTCAAAGGCTATGGTCATTTTCCATTTCTAAAAATGGTTGATGAATTATCAAGTAGCTTTATGATTCTTTACCCTGAACATATAAATTTTGAATGTATAGTCTTTGGACATATATTATATAATAAACATGTAAATACCAAGTGATCCAAACAAGTGTACAAACCGAAAAAGGAAAATAAGCATAGAGATTAGGTTTCCATGAATTTCATTAGAATACAAAAAATAAAGGTCAGGGGTTGTAGCTCAGTGGTAGAGCACTTGCCGCGCACATGTGAGACCCTGGGTTCAATCCCCAGCCCCACATAAAAATAAACAATTAAAAACGATATAGTGTCCATCTACAACTAAAAAATTTTAAAAAAGAAAAAGAAAGTTTTATTTATGTGTCTATTCTACCTATTACAACATTAATTTCCTTAAGGATATATATATATATATATATATATATATATAT